GTGGCTGCTGTGTGTGGTTGTCGATAAGTCTTTAGGGTGTGTGTTTGTGGCTGCTGTGTGTGGTTGTAGATAAGTCATTAGGGTGTGTGTTTGTGGCTGTTGTGTGTGGTTGTAGATAAGTCTTTAGGGTGTGTGTTTGTGGCTGTTGTGTTTGGTTGTAGATAAGTCTTTAGGGTGTGTGTTTGTGGCTGTTGTGTGTGGTCGTAGATAAGTCTTTAGGGTGTGTGTATGTTGCTGTTGTGTGTGCTTGTAGGTAAATCTTTAGGGTGTGTCATAAGTAGGCGGTAGTGTTAAGGCAAGGTGGTCTGTGTGTGTATGTGAGGGATTCTGTGTGACAGGGCAATACTCTTGAGTTGTGATTGATGAAATGCCTACCCAGATAGCATTGGTTTCTATTGTTTGTGTAAGTGTTGTTTACTTATATCAATGCTTATCCGGTGTACACGGATGATCGTACGCTCAGACTCCGCTTGTTTCTAGCTGTAGTTGCGAATATGCTCAGGCGTGTGTGAAGTAGTGCTAGTAGTTACACGTGTATTTAGCAGGTTGTAGGGCTATGTGTACATTAGTCGTGTGTGCGGTTAGACTTGATGTCTCTGCCCACTCGTTACTTGTAGGCCCTTTTACTGTGAACTCGTTAACCCTAATCTCTGCCTGTCTCCTCGTTCTTGGCCACATATTTTTGGCCCTGTTCACTTATTTTTGGTCCTGTTCACCTATTTTTGGCCCTGTCCGCTTATTTTTGGTCCTGTCCGTCTGCACCAGTTTCCGGGCAGTTGGATATGGCACAGTCAGCTCTCCGACGAATGGGACGCGTTTCAGGACATACTTGCGCGCAAGGACAATCTAATCCAGGTAGGTGGCGAGTGGCAACAGAAGCACAACACACGCACTCTCTAACCCTTCGCGTAACACACCACTTGACGCGCTACTTGATGTGTGACACCCCATGACATGCACCATGTGATCTGTGCGTGTGCGTGTATGTCCTCAGGGCCTGAGAGTCTCACACCAATCGGTTGCAGCAACAGACCACTACGCTGCGAGGAGTCCATTCGGTCCGATTGATTGAGTCGCACATTTCTCGAAATCAATGCAAATCTGTCGGCTGAGAGTTGTATATATTCAGTTAAATGCCATACGGGTGATAAAATATTGCACATACATAGGCTTTGATTGTCATGATAACACCGAACTAGTTTTTAAACTCATTAGACTGAGATATCTTTCAATGTCATGGTGACATCGAACTAATTTTAAACTCTTTAGGCTGAGATGTCCTTTAATGTCACGATAACATTGGACCAATTTCAAACTCATTAGGCTGAGATGTCCTTAATGTCACGATAACATCGAACTAATTTTAAACTCATTAGGCTAAGATGTCATTTAAAGTCATGTTAATATCGAACTATTTTTCTATTTTAAAACTCATGAGGCTGAGATGTCATTTAAGGTCATGTTAATATCGAACTAATTTTAAATTCGTTAGGCTGAGGTGGCTGCGCTGCGTCGCAAGATTGAATCTGAGGAGACGTCAGTGTCAGAGCGCATTGGCACTTTGCTGACTGAATGGGACCAAGACAAGCCCATCCACGCAGACACAGCCCCAGAAGTCATCACCAAGACGCTGGATTCCTTCGATGGTACGTATCATTGTAAATACTAGACTAATAAAATATACATTTAAATTGCATGTATATAATAGACGAATTGTAAATAATAATGTAGATACTAGATTAATTTTATATATTAATGTATATACCAGATTAGTTATATGTATATAT